TGTGGGATGTCGGAAGTCTCCATAGCAACGACACATCGAACTGACGTCATTGATCTGATGTGATCCCAGACTAGAACACCGCGGATTGTTACATACGCACGGGGTCAATCATTGTAGTATACAATACAGTTTATACAACTTAAATGGGCTGAGAAGTAGGCCTAATACACAACTATTAAATGCGTACTAGATCACGAGATGGTACAACAATCTATAAACAAAATATAAATGTCGCAACGAATAAGGGTAGAATAAGTAATACAAAATGCACAGTGAAAATAAAGGGAATAGAGACGTTGATTACAACCAAGTAAATTACAGGTTCATTTAGTATTACTCAATAAGTTAATCAACGAATTGAATAGAGATGTAGTGCGCTCCATACAGGGATCAAGTATAAAGTGGTCGAAATAAGCGACAAGAGTTTGCAAAATGAGTATGATATGGCTGAGGTTTAGATCTATGTACAAGAGATACTTTAACGAGAAAAAAATGTAGTTTATGGAACGATTTTGAAAATGTCCGGGGGTACTCATACGAAATAGTTATTTGTGTAACTAGTGGGCGGCGAGTGTGGAAAGTTTCTCGAGTGCAGCAAAAGCAGTTTGAACTCGTGTTACACATTATATTTTTCATGCCATTACTATAAATCATATAAATAATTAGTCTTTCAAGCACTGTACAACACGTTTTTAGGTTAAATCCAAACATTGAACGAAATGGGAAACGCTGCACCAGCTGATTGTAGTCGTAATATCTTTGCGTTGCCAACTTATTTTCAAGCGTACACGGATTACGTGTATAATAAAAGCACGTTGTTTTGTGTTGTTTGATTGGAACACTGGTGTACGCGAAAGTGAAAACAGTGCGCCAAAGTAAGGCTTTCTGTACTACATAATCTGTACAAGGAAGCTCACTTCGTCGGGTGTCTGTAGGAAAATGAATATTAAAACCCGGTAGGCTAATTTTTTTTTATATTGAGAAAACCAGTATGAATCGGTTAGTACGAAGGTAAACTTTAACATTTTATCAGATATTGTAAGAGGGTGAGGGTGGGCGAATGTTATGGTGGAAGGGGTAAAATGCGATGCACGCGTCTACGCAGATGCATCTTTGTACAGACAGATCAATGTGATGAAGGTCAGGTCTCACCCTTACACACACAACTACAACTGTGACACAACATACTGTTACACTAGCAACGGTTGATGTATTGAGGGTAGGGACGAACAGGTTACTAAGCAATGACTACGTTTGTATCATAGTCGTCTTTGACGTTTTTGATTGGATAGGTTAGGTTGTTGTAGGTTGGGTTGTAGACAACTAGACATTCCATCCCCATGTTAAATTTGTAGCCAGCTTTTTGATCAAAATCATCGTAGTTGATGTGAGCCACCTACAGATTGTGCTGATCTAAATTACTAAATTCTGCCGAATACACTATCTTTTTAACCAAATCAAACTTAGAGAATGACGTATGATGAGTTATAGCAACTGTTATGACCCATCAACCTGATGAGCAACAAAAAACAAGGTATAATAGTACAATAGAATTTTAGACACTAACGCATTCTGTGACTGGCTCACACAACTACATTCTTTTTTCATAAAAAAATTGGCAAAAGGTAGTCCATAAAGATGGGATGTCTAGGTTGTAGGTTAGGCTGTAGTTTAGGTTAAACGTAGGTCAAGAGAGCCACTTAACCAAATCTAACCGAATCTTTATTTCATATGGCTCTCCTAAGACTCATGATCAAATTTCATGCTGAACTGTCAAGAGAAGGAAAGCCCTGTGGGGTGGGTTTGTGATTTCATTGAGCAAGTGGGCGCTGCTCTGAATGCTCTGAATGAAGTATTGAACTCAGGAATGTGGGTCACACCACCTCCCTTCTTACGTCAACTTTCATCATCCGTTGAAAGAGAAAACTACCCTTGTTGTTTTAAGGGTTTCTAAGGTTTCCGTTTCTTACCTTGTGTATCCTTATCTAGTTTAACACTTTGATCGTGTGTGTGTATTGTAACATTTATAAGGTAGCCTTTATGTTAAAACTACACGAAATACTTCAGTTTGGAAACTAAATATGAGTGGAAATTAAAGTTGTAATTAGGGTAAACCTTACCCTAAACAGTTATATATGTTAGTGTGGGGTTATTTGTATTGTTTATTATTTCCAAAGCTAATTTCCAGATTGCTGATTTCCAGCCATCATCCGTAATTATTTTTCGATTAATACAAATCACATTGCTACCTTCATGAGGCCAGTTTTGTTATTTAATTGTGATTTGTCATTGTTTGTAATAAGGCTATTCGTTACTTACACGACCTGTTATTTACTATTAAATTTCATAGAGGGGGACTCATTTTTACCTATTATAGTACCTTATACCTTTTACCTATTTACCTTTAATAACCTGCGATTTGATTGTTAGATACTCAAATGCAAATCTGTAGATGCTTAAACAACAGAGCAAGTGCTTTACCAGACGTATATAAAATGCTGAAGTAGTTCCAAATCAATTAAAACTCGTCTTTTGTAAATTAATTTACATATTTATTCCAATATACCGATTCCTTTCAATTCATTAACAGTACAGCATTCACCCATAAATTTAGTGAAAGGAATTCGTCGAACTGTACCACTACCACTATCACTTTTACCTCAATACCATATCTCACAGTAACGTGTTTTATTTCACCAATACAATAAACCCTCTACAGGTGCGTAACAGCTGATCGTTCATCGATCTAATATTGAAACACACGTTTAGATTGTAGATAACCTTTCACAGTAGCTCATAAAGTGAGTGCAATCTGTTGTTTGACAAATGTAGCCATTAGCCATTGGCTGACTTTCACGTGACCTTGAACAGCTGAGCACGTGATCGCATCAGCTGATTCTACACCTGTTTGTATTGTTGCAGTTTTCAAGGTTAGAAAATTTGTGAAGTAAGAAGTTCTTTGCTTTGGCATGCTAATTGCTGAAATATGTCACGAGAATGTTGGGATTAAGGTATGTATATTGATAAAGTAGATTACCATAGAGGTTATATTTTTAGTGTTGGGTTATGATACTTTTATATTTCCGTAACTTAGCCTAACACTACAAAACCTTACCTAACCTAGCCTCACCCAACTGAGTTTAAACTAACTTTAATTTAAGCCTTTCCTAATCTATATAACAAAATGTTGTGCACTCGGAATAGGCCTATCAAAATGTTTTTATTTGAATACCGTGTGTTAAATGTATTTGTCTTGTGTCCAAACCATCTACGCTATTCAAGCGGATTCAATGTTTTAATTCTGAACCAAGGTTAGAAAATGGAAGTGGTGAATAAACTTCACTAAACATTAGTGTAGTGTTTGGCGTTTTGATCAAGAGTTAATAAAACCCTTGGTCAAAGGTATATGCAAAGTTCTTAGTAAGAATCACAACGAGACCAATGTTGACAATAACCAGGTCTCAATAATGTCACAATTGAGATGTGAAAATTCCATCTCAGCTACAGACAGGGCCAGGATTAGCTCCATATTATCGCCTGTCAAAGTCAGACATCCAACGCGCGTGGCTCCATATCAAAGGCTTTGCCAAATTGTTTTCACGTAAATAGAGGCCTACATTGACCCCATTTCCCAATACTGGCCCAGTTATGTAAATAACTTTCCTCGTTCAACATTCGCAAACTCGTCCAATTTTATTATGAAGACGGTCTTGATTTTCTTTCTAATCATGAAGTTCTGCATAAATGTTTTGTTATTTTTCAGATTTTCAATGCCAAACCTAAAATAAATAGATTGATGGGATGTAGTGCTAGTTTATTAATCTAAATGAGAAATTGGTTGACATTTGTGGCTTGAAACTGGACGAAGAAATCCTTGACTATTGTGGGATTTCTAGTGAGTGCCATGAAGTTTGTCATTGGTTCTCAGAGAGCATAGTATACAGCTGAAGTTTTAGGGGTAGGTAAGGTTAGGATCAACCTAATTTTAGACCTAAGTTCTTACCTAACATGTCAAATTTGGGTAGAATACTACCAGAAGGTCACTGGTCAATTCTTAAGAAAATTGCCAGCTTTTTGGTTGTTTGAAACCTCTTGGTGAATCATTGATGGGTTTGAACTATCCTTGATCATTGGGTTTTAAAAATTGCCATAACTAAAGACACAGCTGGTCAAAGTCAGTTAGAAAGCATAACGCATATCTCTTTATTTTACACTCATTCTCATTCATATTTTCGATTAAGTCTGACCAAACACAATGTACTCCTAACTCCACTATAGTGACCAAGTGCTAAAGCCACCCACGTGCTTTCATGGCCAAGGCTTAGTTTATTTACTGCATGCTCTTACTGTGATGCTGATCCTGATACTATAAGTGGAAGTGTCAGGTTTCAGAGCAGCATGCGGCCTCGTCAAGGCCAACTCCATCATGTCGCTACGCGCGAAAAGTCCACTGAAATCTTAGTCCGTGCAGCTAGAAAGTATTGTACTGTATCTTGAAGATTTGTACGTTGGAACTTTGTATGATACGGATGGCTTATAGCGTTTATTTTGTCAAACTTTGGCATTCTTCCTCTTTTCATCACACAAATGAACATTGTTTATTGGATCAAGTAAAGCTGGAATCGCAAACAGTCTTCAATAGATGGTTAAACCTATTCCTTGGTCTATGAAGTTCAAAAGTAATTACGTAAACGCTAACATCTGGATTTTGTCTCCTCCCTTCGATTCTTGAAGCAGAGGTTTTTGGTATTTCTTCACTTTCCCCATTTTTTGGCCCTTTCCTAGTATACGTTTGACAAACCTTCAAAAATATTCTGGGGTCTTCAAGAATTCTGGATTCACTGTGAAGTGTACTTCACAATGGTCGAGATGCATCTTTTTGGTGGAAAATCCTTGTCACAATGGTATCTCATCACTTTAAAAACAGATATTTCGAATCTTATCCATGGGAAGGACATTAAATTTCTTAAAAAATTTAAAACGTAGAATAGAAGACTCACCCGGAGACGGAGTCACAGTAACGGTAGAGGCTGGGCGTCTCCTCCTTGAAATGGGGAGTGCCGGCTCTGGAACTCGTAGACCCGTTGTTGCTGAAACAAACAATCGGTCAGTGGCGTTGTCCTAGAATATGGAAGTCTGTAATGCTGAAAAATTAAAGTATATGTGACAGTCGATTATCGTAGAAGTTAATGGAGCCTAAAACAACGGAGTCAATGTGGTCATGAACATTGGGGTCTTTTAGCTGTCGTCAAAATTAGAGACAATGTGGTTATTGCATAGTTGATTTTACATAATATCCTTGGTATTTTTCTTATCGTCGTATTAAATTCAGGGTCGCTGTGTTATCGTAAAGCAATATGAGTCAATGTGGTCATTGCCGTAGAAATCAGGGTGGCTATCGTAAAGTCACAGAACTCAGGGTGGCTGTCGTTAAGTCACAGAAATCAGGGTGGCTATCGTTAAGTCACAGAAATCAGGGCGGCTGTCGTTAAGTCACAGAAATCAGGGTGGCTGTTGTAAAGCCACAGAAATCAGGGTGGCTGTCGTAAAGTCACAGAAATCAGGGTGGCTATCGTTAAGTCACAGAAATCAGGGTGGCTATCGTAAAGCCACAGAAATCAGGGTGGCTGTCGTAGAGCCATACGAATCAGTGTGGTTGTCGTATCACATTATGAGTGAATTTTACAGTGGCTATCGTAAAGCCACAGACATCAGGGTGGCTGTCGTTAAGTCACAGAAATCAGGGTGGCTATCGTAAAGTCACAGAAATCAGTGTGGCTATCGTAAAGCCACAGAAATCAGGTTGGCTGTCGTAAAGCCACAGAAATTAGGGTGGCTGTCGTAAAGCCATAGAAATCAATGTGGTTATCGTAGAGCCACAGAAATCAGTGTGATTATCGTAAAGCCACAGAAATCAGTGTGGTTATCGTAGATCCATACGAATCAGTGTGGTTATCGTAGAGCCACAGAAATCAGTGTGATTATCGTAAAGCCACAGAAATCAATGTGGTTATCGTAGAGCCATACGAATCAGTGTGGTTATCGTATCACATTATGAGTGAATTTTACAGTCACCAGTCATTGGACATTATATAAGGTGTTGACGTTATAAGAACTAAGCGTGGAGTTAAAATGGCAAAAACATCATCTAAATAGCCCAAACCATAATCAATTAAAACCATTTCAAATACTTAATGATGTAGTATTATTGAAACGTGCTGGTTTGGCAAATTCATGTTTACCTAACTATATTTCTTAAGCAATCCCGCATCATTCTCTTTACCTTCAAAAACCAAACCTCGGTCCTCCAATGATGATAGATTTTACGATGGGTAACGATAATTAAAAAAGATAAGCATTGCATAACCAAAGGTTACGGAGAGGATTTAATCGTAACAGAAAGGGCGATCGCGTAGTATTTCACGTAGATTATCCTAACAAACGATCAGTGTACGGTGTCGTTACAACACCCATGTATGCTCTGTTAATGTAACGACTGTATCTAATTTCACGGTTCGATTATCGTTTGCCGCTTTCGATTATCGTATTTCAACAATCAAGGTCGATCGATTGAACTAATAATCGCTTGAGGAGTTTGTAAATGAATCGTTAAACTATGAGGTATTTAGTGGATAATTACAACCGGTTTGCTTTGGGTTACGGCGATATTTACTACCTATTGTTGTAAGCTACGTTTCGTTATGTTAATAGTTATGAATTTTAATTTAATGGCGGCGTAAAAAGGTGAATATATTAAAATAGTTTAATTACCTAACGGTACCTACCTATCGTGTAGGGTTTTATACGTAAACATAATATTTTAACCATTATAACTACTCAGGATATTTATTTAGATTTTTATTTCTGCTGAATTAACATAATGTGCTGCAGGTAAAAGGGCCTGACTAAAACTGAATTGTCTGGGTAGTGTTTATAGTGCTTGCCTTCAAATCTGAAGGTAGCTGGTTCGATTCCAAACGATGTTATTCAAAATGTCACTTGTCATTAGTCATAGGACGACATTATACGTTATGGCAACTAGAATAAAATTTGCACTGTTCCTTTACAAATAACGAGAAAAATAACAGAGATTTTCACTTTTTTTAGCTGAATCAAAAGAAAGGCAATTTAAAATAACTAATTTGTTAAATTGTGTTTGTTTCTCAAATCTATGAAAGTAACCAATATTAACTCTTTCAAACACTAGACACGTACTAGATTTTTAAAGTAAATACTGTATTATTTGTTATCGTGGTAACAGTAATACAATATACATGATTTAAATTGACAATGCTGACAACAATTAACCATGGATATAAAACAGCCGTTTTTCGTAAGTGGATAAAAATATTGCTTACGGTACGTGGGAAAAGCTAATCCTGTATATCTGGATGGAGTTTTGCTTCTCAAATCAATGATAGTGTTAGCAATGTAACTATTTAAAACCCTAGTTTGCAACAAGCACTAGTTTTTTTTTATAACTGTATTATTTATATCGTGGTAATTATCATTGTAATAATTTTACTCTCAACAATTACCGTATATTTCAAACAGCTGTTTTACTAGACTGGATAAAAATATTGCTTACGTGAGAATATTCTCAATGGAATAATTGCCGCACCCTACTTCCGTATGCAAGTATTACCATTGTAAACGAATAATTGCGACTAGTCCTGGATAGCGGCCTAATATAACGGTGTTCTCCGCTCTTTTTACATTCCTCGGGAAATACGCATGTTTACCATAGGAATGTTGTGTTGATTTCGCAGAACTGTGCAGTAGTAAAACTGTTTATGGTTGGAAAAATGGTGTGAACGTGTAAATTAATATAGACTTTTGTAGAGTTTTCAGAAATGTATTAACGTTTTTAGCGAATTTCCCTATAGGGAAGTAGCTATTACCGTAGGTGGCACGGTAAGACCTAGGCCCGGGACCGATTTACTTTTTCATTTTGATGTCCCCAGAGGCCAAAAACACCATTCGTTCAAATTGTTATATATGTATACGATAACTTGAGTAATTTTGGTCCGATTTTGATGAAATTCGGTTTAAATGTGTAAAGCGGGATAAACTTGAATGAGTTCGCGAACCAGCATGATCGGACCATGGGAACGGGGCTTTACGGGGGGTTTTATGGGGTAAACATTGGTTTTCTCACTTTTGACCCTCAAAACACAAAATTTCCCAATTTCTCTTTAGACCTTTTTAAAGAGCTTAAAAAAACAAATAATTTAGTATGTAAAAGTATTTTTTTCGATTATTAGTAACGGAGAAAATTTAAAAAATTGTAAATAAAAAATTCCCATGTTATTCTTATGGAGAATATTGTCAAATGTTGTAGTTTGCTTGTTTATGGTTATATTTTGATCAAACTTGGCAAATTTATTTATTTTGTACTAAGCTATCAATATTTTACTCAAAAACACACTTTATTAGTTTCCTTGTAGCAGCAAACCTAGGTACTCATAAGTCATAAGTCATAAGTCATAAGTTCTTTATTCCAGAATTACAAAATTACATTGCATTGGAATAGTCAAGTTTATAATGAAATGTACAAAAGATAAAATATAAAAAGAAAACTCTACTAACTAAAACAATGTGACCTTCTAGTAATCTAACAAGACAGAAATCACTGACTACATGACAGTGGAAAAATCGCGGACTCTGTAGCAAGCATTTTCAACCAAAATTTGTTTAAGTTTTCTCCTAAACCTGAGCAAATCAGTCTCCAGCTTTAGATGTTGAGGAAGTTGGTTAAAAAGTTTAATTCCATTGTAAAGGAGATGATGTTTGAAAAATGAAGTTGAATGGACGGGAATGTTTAAGTTGTATGATGTGCGTAAGTTATATGTACTGGAGCTAATGTTGGTGGTAAATAATGACTGATGTTTTTTTACAAATGAAAGGGTTTCAAGGATGTATAGTGAGGGAAGAGTCAAAATTGCAGCTGACCTGAATGATTCCTTACAAGATCGTCTTCTGAAAAGAGAAAATATAACACGAATAGCCTTTTTTTGCATTTTAAAAAGAAAGGAGGTATGATTATTTTCATATCCCCAAACAGGCAGAGCATAAACTAGATATGGAAATATTAAGCCGTAATAAACAGAAAGAAGAACTTCTGACGAGACTGTTGTGGCCAATGTTCGTAGTACAAAAATGCCTATACTTACACGTTTTATCACGTAATCAACATGAGATTTGAAGTTTAAACATTCGTCTAAGTGGATGCCTAAAAATTTAACAGACTGTACAGGATGAATGAAGGTTTGATCAAGAAGAAGTGACAGATTCGGATCTTTGTGGGATCTGTTTGAGATTCGAAAGTTAATCAGCTGGGTCTTTGCAGTGTTTGTTTTCAGAAGGTTGTCATCAAACCACTGAAGCAAGGTATTTGCCTCTATGAATGCCATTTGCTCGAGTGACTCTAGGGAGGGACTGGATAAGGCTAGGGAAGTATCATCTGCAAAAAGGCACAGTTTGCCTTGGGTTATGCATGTGGGGAGGTCATTTATGAAGAGGAGGAATAGCACAGGGCCTAGAACGGATCCCTGAGGCACACCTCTCGTTATAGGAGTTTCTGAAGACTTAAATCTACTTTGTAGCCCGGTGTGATCTATGGATTGTATTTCGACACATTGCCTCCTGCCTTTTAAAAATGACGAAAACCACTCTGATGTAACTCCTCGGACTCCTATGTTGTTTAATTTAGCTAGTAGGAGGTCATGGTCAACCATGTCAAACGCCTTACTCAAATCAAAGAAAATACCCATTGAGCGTTGCTTTGCATCCAAATCTTGCACCACTTGGTTCAATAAGGAAAATATTGCACTTGTAGTGTTTTTGCTTTTGACAAATCCATGTTGATCTTTGAATATTATATTATTCTTTTCAGAAAATGCCCAGAGCCTCTCTAAAACAGCCTTTTCATATATCTTGGACAAACTTGAAAGCATAGAAATGGGCCTATAATTATCACACTTCGTATGGTCACCCCTTTTGAGAATTGGCCTTACAACTGCAAGTTTGAGTGCATTGGGAAATTTTCCATGCAGAAAAGAGTGGTTTATGAGATGGGTTAGAGGATTAA